TAAGCTTAACCTGTTTCCTAGCTAAAGCTTAATTTATCATCCTGCAAAGGCAGATGTGCTGACCTGAAGCACTGTGCCTCTTTCTGCAAAGCTGAGTCTCACTTTGAGGGAGTCTTTGGGCAGACTTACTACCTGACAATAAATGCAGCTTTTACTAAATGCTAAAACGCAGATGCATACAATCTGAGTCTGATCTTACCAAAAAATTGTTAAGATTAAAAACTGGGGTTGAAGATTTTAAAAATGAAATTGTCAAAAGGCTATTTTAAATCCAAATGTCCCTGCCCCCTAATCTCTTGCATGTAGGTTCCATCTTGCATTTTCAAACAGTAGATACTCGGGTGTGGTAATGCCCCCTTTTTCCTTGTCTGTGATTACAATGCTCCTCCAATGAATTTGTTTACATAGCCCACAGTCTACAGCCTTCATGCTCTTGGTGTGTATCGAGCTGGCTCTATCCCATGCATGCTACACGCAAAGGGGTCAAAGTCAGTTCCTATAGTTGTCTATGATGTGGTCAATCCTGGAGTGATTCTGCATCCCCGTTGCAGGTAGTTCACACACTGGTGGCAGACAACACATACATGGGACATAGCTTGCCTTAGGCCTGTCCACAGATCCCTTGGCCCACAGGTACCAGGAAGGGTTGGGCTGAGCACAGTCACAGTCCAGGAATGGTCTCCAGACACTCAGCAGTGAACTGTCCATGGCTTGTGACCTGTCTTCCAGCACAGAACACATCTGTGATCTTAATTTCTTCTAAGACCCCTGAGCCTACATCTCTAAACTGAGAAGCTAATCCAGCCAGAAGAAAAAGGTGCCAGGGGTCACAGCTTGGCTTAAAGGGCATCCTGACATAACCATATTATTATTTGATTAAACTGATATCCCACCTTCTTCAGTCATCCAGGATAGACAGGGGAGAACAACAGCAGCAAAGGGACAAACAGAAAGGAAACAAGCCATCACGCCATGAGCTAAATCCTGGGTAAGGGAAGGCAACATGGACAGGTGATGGAGAACTGAGTCTTACCTGCCTGGCTTAGTTTCAGATTCTACAAAACACCCTGAGATCATTTAGAATACACTCGGAGTTCAGCCTAGGAAAACTGTTCATAATTTATCAGTGAGGCCCACTTGCACCAATTGCAGGAATCCTGCCTGGAATCGACCTTATATAGCCCCTTCCTAAGTAATAAAGACCTGGGCACTTCTGGGCTGAAATTATGGCTGTTTCAACTTATTACTGGAGAAGTGTCTATACACTGGTGACAAATAGTAGAATTGTTTCCTGATGCCTATGTCCTTGGAATTCCAGTATATATTTTTAAAGCTCTAGATATAAAAACAAACCAACCAAACAAACAAACCTGGTTGTTATATTTGCCTCATGGAAGATTCCAGATCTCATGGGTGAGATCGGTAAAGGTCACAGCTCCCAAGATGTCTACAGCACTCACGGGGAACTGTACATGCATTATTAAAAGTCACAGAAATATAAAGGCTGAAATGGATTTTTGTCAAAATATAATTTATTTGAGAGTTTATTTGAAATTGTAGGGAGGAAGGCCTTAAGCAGTTTTTCATAAAATAGTTCTAAACTTTGGTCCTTTGCAGTGCAAATTATTTTTTTTCCAGGCCTATTTTCTTTTTTTTTTTTTTTTTTTTTTTTTTTTTGGTACCAACAGTGTTGGCACGGAGGGTGCCGCACATTTCTTGTAGGTAAATTAGGATCACAAGGGCAATTGTTTCTAAATTGTTCTTGACATAACAAATAGGAAAAAAATAAAAACAGAACCATTTTAGATCTTAATCAAAAGATCTGCTGGTTCTAAAGACAATGATGTGGTGACCTTTGTCATTTAAAAATTCTCATCTCACGGGGTGGGGGTGGGGGTGAATAGTGGCACCTGCTTCTAATCTTCCTTGCAGCATTTGGGAGACAGAGGCAGGCGAATCTTGGCAAGACTAAGGCCAGCCTGGTCTACATAGTAAGTTCCAGGACAGCCAGGACAGTGTAAGAAAGAAACTGTCTCAACAACAACAACAAAACAAACAAAACGCCCCTACGAAACAAAATTCACCTCTGCTCACATTAAAATCTGTGTCCTTTAAGCTAGCACAGGAAGATGAGAAATAAACGGAGCCAGCAAGGAATCAAAACACAACATGGCTGAGAGAGAATGATTTAGGCTTCTCTGAAACATTCTAGCTTACAGATCATTTTAGACGTCTTTTAAAAGCATGTCATACCAACTTAGAAAATGCGTGCATTTGTGTGTGGGGGGCCATAGAATCTCCTTGTTCATAAATAATACCATTTGGAAAATTCTAATCCAACCATTATTTCCATGGTTGAGTCCTGTACAGGGCGTGGCCACACTGATGTCTGCGGTCAGGTTCACCCTCTCAGCCCGTGGACAGGTCCCAGCAGTCACTTGTTTCCTGTTTATACATGTTGACACCAGTGGCAGTCTCTCTTCTGTCCTGAGCCCAGTGAAAGCTGAGCCGCATGCCTCACATGGGTGCATTCAAATCTGCCTCGCTGAATTTATAAACTGAGATGCCAGGATAGAAGTGAGGGATGCACACTGAAATGTTACTCAGGGTGTTAGCAACCTAACTGATTTGGCTTCTCTGTTATTTTTAAAGATCAGGAAAAAAACTAACATGTTAATCTGAACATTCACTTCTCCCTCAGGGGCGTGTGTGTGTTTGTGTGTGTGTGTTTGTGCTTGTATTATATGTGAAGTATACAAAAAAAGCCAAATCACTTTAAGAATCTGTTTTCTAACAGAAAATAAAGTCATCATAATTTTCAAAGAACATGCTCTTTATCTTACCACAGGTACTGAAGAACTAGAAAGAAGACCAATGAGCTGAATGTCTTCTTGTTGCGTTCATATTTAAAGATAGAAACACATTTTCCTGGTCCAAAAATTAATCCACAGAAATCTCTCAGCAGTTATTTGGAATAAATTTTCTATATCATAATATTCTTAGACAATTGTTCACATTTTTCTATGTCTATGTCTATATAGATATATCACATATCTATCTATATAAATATTGTCAATTACTCTGTGCATTATATCATGACAGGGAAAGTATATATTAGTGGTCTTAGAAGTGGATCTATTTCTCATCATCTTTTGAGCTCTTACAGACCGGGGTAGGGGAGGAGCCCCGCCTCTGGCAGACACCCTGTCCACTCCAGCGCCCACCTTGACCTACAGAGCATACCACAAGGGTGAGTGGAGACTCAGCCTCCGACTCAGTACCACAATGCTGGAGTTGACTGCACTGTGACTTGCTCCCTCTTTGTGAAGAATGCTCAGCCAATACCAGTCATTTCTCTTTAAGTAAAAAGGCAAAGAATTTTCCCTATTATCCTAAGAAATATTTTTGCAGATCAAATTTTAATCTCAAGCATGGTCATGCCCAAATCAGCTAAGAGACATAAATATGCCCTGTCATCCTCAACTGAAGTGTTCAGTCACAAGACACTTTGGTGGTAAACAAGCAAGTGTGTCTACCTTAGCCCTGGTGTTCAGTGAATGAGTTAGGCTGGTCAGGTACATGGTGGGGGCAGGCAAGACCAAGAGCCACAGTCACACAGCATTGCTGCTTTGCCTCAAGCATGTGGCAGGAGAAAGAAACGAAGGGTTCAGGTGTCTGCAGCTAGAGCCACAAGGCTGAGGGATGGACGGCAGTGGTTTGGAAGTGCAGACACTGCTTAGGAATAAAGAAATGCCCCTGACATTTGCTGTGTTTGTGAAATACCACATGGGAGCAAGTATTGTCTGCCAGACAGGAAGGAGAAGTAGCTGGTATGTGCAGCCTACCCTCATCCACAGGGACAAGATTATTCCTCTTTGGCCCAATAGTACTGCTTTGAATTAGTTTTAAATGTTAATGGCTCCTGAAATGAACTTAGAATAGAAACGTAGTCAAGTGATTTTTAGGGATTGTTGCCTCTTACGATGATTCTTTTGAGAACCTGGAGCTGGTGTTGGAAGTAGAACCCATACTTGGTAAGCCCATATATACCGCTGGCTTGCTACCTATAAATAATTTTGAAATAGAAGAGATATGTTCTTTTTCTCTTGAATTTAAAATTTTATTGATGATTCTAAATAATTGTGGAATCTTTGCTATTTTTTCCTTTTTAAAAATGGAACTTACCATCCGAATAGTTCAAACATGTCAACACAGTTTAATTTCTAAGGATTGGGAACCATGAAGGGGGGACCTGGTCAGCTGGATTAGTGGTTGGTGCCTTCCTCATTCCTAAAAGAATTCCTCTTCCCTAATATTCCTGATACAAGTCACTTTAGCTTCTGGGTATCAATAGTTATATAGTGTTTAAAAAAGAAGAAACAGATCATCTAACATAATATCCAAGAGCTCTTAAAGTTATGATTTGTAGCAGTGTTATCTGTGAGACACAGCTAATTTAAAAGCAAACGGCATCTCCAGTGGCAGTGGACAGAGGCTGATGTCAGATAGCCCGTGTGAAGTCTGCCGAGTGTGGTGTCCATGAGCACACTCTGCTTCCTACACAGACTTGAGAACACCTGTCTGCTGTAGTGACCTGAAAGCTGCTATGTTCACCCAGTGCAGAGGATGGAAAGGCAAACCCGAGCGTGGTCATCTTTGGGCACTGCAGATTCTCTGGCAGGCATCTCTATTACGTTCTCTTCTATGGCAGATGTAAAGCAACATCCGAAATTAGAAAGATCCATTTTACTTGGGGGGTGGGGTTAGGAGATCTGGAGCTGTGGCAAAGGTGCTTGTCTGGCATGCATTTACAGGGCCTTGGGTTCTATGCCGAGCACTGAAAAAATAATTCAAGATCAAAGTACTTGTAGATATTGCTTAAATATAACCTGCCAACCCTTATTTGAGTTCCCCATGGAAAATGGCACAGACATCCATCCACCGAAAGCAACCAGCACTGCAAACTCCACCGAGAAGAATCAGGGAACACGATTCAGAAATAATACAACACCCCGCATTTTATTCAGTTCTGTGTGACAAAAATAGTAACCTAGTCTACAACATCCATTTCAGTCAGTAGATGTGTCAAGCCACAAGACTTAATCATAAAATATATCAGGTCTACCAAACACCCTGGCTGGTTCTGGGAGGCCCTCACCCCGCGTGTTTTTTGCGGTATAAAAATAGTGTCTCTCTTCACCACGCAGAGGGACAGCCAGCCCTGAACACAGAATGGGGGTGGTCTCTTCATCTTCATCCGCCGTCTCGTTTATAACACTTTACATTTCTCTTAAGTTATATACACATCCTTTTGAGAGAAGAAAGAACACTAACATGGTACCAAATACCAACCAAGACGGGGAGAAAACACACTAAGAAGACACACATGAATAACAAGATACTCAACTGCTAAAGCACAGCAACGTTAAGCCACCTTGACTCCTCTCCCCAAAGCTGGAGCACCTGCTCCCATCCCCACCCCAGCAAGAGATGGCACAGCCTGAAGACGCTCCACCTCACGACATGGAAAACAGAGCCGGAGAGGTCAGCGTTCATTTCTAAAGACGGGAACAGCTAATGAGCCCAGAAGCTCTCTGCTCAGCCACGGGCCAGTGGTAGTCATTCCCCTGCAGTGCCTTTTCCTGTTGGTTCAATTGTATGAGGTGACTGCTCTAGCCTTCTGTTTCCCACTGTCTGGTTTGGCCTTCAGGCACAGACAGCTCCCTGCCGAGGTACCCAGCTACCTACAGAATGTCTCGAGCAGTTTCTGTGGGAAGTCCATCATGTCACATCCCAGCATGCTTGCAATGCACGAAAATGAGGTAGTACACACAACACTGACGTTCAAGTTTCGAGTCCGCCCCGCCTCCCAGCATCTGGCTCCTTTGCTTAGTGGATGCAGTTTAGACAGGTCATCAGCAAAAGATTGGGGGTTGAATGATCAGGACACCGCACCGTGTTTGCACTTGAAAAGACAATAAATCACGAACTTAGGAAATGTCAAGGATATGACTGATTATACTGCCAGACACTCGGTATCCCCGTCTCATTTGCACCCTGACCAGTGCTATGAGGCAGTCCCATATCATGTGTGTGAGAGAGACAGAGGGGAGCCCACAGTAAAATCACACTTGTGCAATACGAACTCTGTTGTTCCCTGCCTTTCTATGTCAGGGGACTGAGAGTAATTTGTTAAAGTTTTGTTATGGTGCTCACAGTTTTTTCAGGAGGTTTTGTAGAAAAGTTAAATAAAGCATGTTAATTTAAGAAATGGCAGGTCTTATTTTATTGAGGTGCTGACAAGTCCTGGTGGCTTCTTTTCTGCTTAAACAGGATAGACTTCTCATGTTTGACTTTAAGACAAAACAATAAACTGTGACATGGGTTTTTTTTTCTCCATTTTCTTTAAACCGAAGTACTATTTATAAAATACTTTACATCTTTTTTTTTAATTTTCAAATTATAGACAAACTTCCCTAATACAAAATACTAAAAGTGCAATTGTATAAATTAAGATTTGCAACCACATTATACAAACATTACCTCTTTATTATACAGCTTTGATAATGTGAAATCTTTACTCACAACTGTTTATAATTCTGTGAATCATTTTGCGGTGATGCTTGTCTGTAACTTGTTCCCAATCCACCGCGGGGCCACAGACCACACTAGAGAACAACTGTTCACATAGCAGCTACAAACATTTAAATTAAAGGGGAGGGGTGGTACTGACAGGTACTTGCACACAGAAAGCATGCTATCTTTCCCAATAGAACGTCACGATTTTGCCAGCATTGAATTAATCCACTTATTTATAATGACGCAAATCTTGCTTTAAAAAAAAAAAAGATCACATAGCCAGATGTATTCTGTGATACAAAATCTTCATTTAAGGTTGGGCTATTTTATTGTCTGTTACCCGCATAATCTTAACATAAATACTATAGACGAAGTGACTGTCATTATACACAGCGTTTGGAGCACTGAGCTGCTTCTCCAAGACGAAGAGTCCCTAAAACAGAGTTCAAGTGTCTACAGAATTTGAACAAAAGCATTGAATGCAGCTCACGGGATTGCCACAGGGGACCCCATTCCCCCACACAAAGGGGTCACTAGGTTTTAGGAGAAATGAAGTAGATACGGTCTGAGCTCTTTCTGTTCCTAAGGCCATTTTTTTTTCAAGGACATAAGCTTTTGTCTGAAATTTACTTAAAGGGTTGCAGAGTTCCTCAGAACAGTCAAACCCACTGAAGTACTGCACCTCACTCACCATGCCACCTTACAGCAGCCGCAGGGTGCAGAGATTTTCTGTCATGGGTAAAGTATTAATGAGAGCCTAGGCATGTGGGGTCCAAAGCCTGATGCTCCAACTCTGCAGAGTGGACTTGGGACAGAAGAGGAGGGTGGAGTCTTAAGTGTATCCTGCTAGTTTATTCCAATCTCCTTGTTATCCTCAATGAACCTTGTGAATGGCCGGCTGGCTCCCGTCTCTGAGCTTGCTTTGTCCAAGCTGACAATGGGTGGACTACTGCCAGTACGTGTCTTGTCCACCCCACCGGCCATGGCACCCAAAGGCGGGATGGCACCTCCGCCTAGACTTACTGGGAGCTGAGGGATGCCTCCATTCTGGATGACAGAGATCTCATTGTTCTTCATGGCGAGCCCATTGGTGATGGCAGCGGCATACTGGTTCCAAAAGCCAGGATCAACATTCATCGCCCGTGCTGCCAGGTCCTTCTGGAACATTTCAGAGAATTTCAGAGCATCGCCGCCAAGCAGGGCCATGGGGTTTTCCACAGACAGGCGGCGGCCACGCCTTGCGGGTGCGTTGTTCCACATGTGGGTGCCCATGTGTACCTGTGGGTGATAGAGAGAGAGCTACAAGTAAGCAAGTCAAGAACTCTGAGGCAACTGTGGATCGATTTCAATGTTTCATGGGTCCACATTCTAAGAATTAGCCCGGGGTCAGCAGAATGCAGTTAGGGGAGCTTCCCTGAGCACCTTGTATCAGACACATAGTATTTCATTCTGTGAATACAAAAAAGCAAAACTGTCGTGTTAAGTGAACAAACCTCCTAGATACCAACATACACACCCTCACCCCAGGAGACTATAGAGAATGTTCTAGCTTTAAGGATAAAGGCCCTTGGCGGTTGCCTCTTCTATTCTCCACCTTAATGTATGCATGTGGAGGTCCGAAGACAACCTCTGGTGTTATCCTTTAAACATGGACCCCCCCTTCCTTTTTGAGACAGGGTCTCTTCCTGGCCTGGGACTCGCCAAGTAGATGAGGCGCAGCCACCTCCTCAGTTCACGTTCAAGCTTTTAAAAGGTCTTGAACTTGAAGTCTTCAACTGTCCTCATCTCTTGCTTCCCCTCAAACAGGAAAATGAGTGTGAAGACCCTCTCGGGCCACCCAGAGCAGCAGGAGGCTCAGCACAGAAGCCACAGGTCTTGACTACTGGCACTCCCTGGAGAGGCTTCTGAGGCCTAGCCAGGTGGTGTCTGTTTAGCTGAGGCCAGCAGCACAGGCTGGAACCTGGGGCATCTGTCAGCAGTCAGTCTCCAGAGAACACTCAGCTGAGCTGGGGCTTAAGCACAATATGTTTCCTCCAGGCTTCAGGAGGAACCTCTCACCCAGTGTCCTACCCAGCAGCTTTGTCTGCAGTCACACAATTAATGGAACATTCTAGACCTCACAGAGCAAGTCTTGTCTTTGTATTATATGCTAACTTTTAAGGGCCATGTTTATTTTGTCTTCAGATTAGAGGTTTGTATCCTTGGCCTGCTCACCATGTATCTATGATGACCCTAGGCCTGAGGCAGGCCGATACCATCAGAGGAAGCAAGCAGACAAGTGCCCCCCCCACCCTCCGACCCCTTTCAGGTGGAACATAGATTTACTGTTTAATGGGATGCATATCTTTTGAGTATGTGCACATACATGTACACACATACACGTGTACACATGTACACACTATGTCTACTCATACCGTAAATGTACAAACAACCCACTCCACACATGTGAATACATACATACACACGAGGGTGAAGACAGAACTTCTGCCTGGCAGCCTAGAGAAAGGGCACATGTCACCATCCACGGGTGCCACGTGGTTTGGCCACAGCCTCAGAGTGTGGTCCTCTTACCTTGAGATTGCCCTTGGTGGTGAAGGCCCTGCCGCAGATGGTGCAGCCGAAGGGCTTCTCCCCAGTGTGGGTGCGCTCGTGGATCTGCAGGGCACTGGCTGAGGAAAAGGTCTTCCCACATGACTGACAGTTGTGCTGCTTGGGTGTCCGGCGTGGTGGGGGTGCCAGCATGGGTGCCAGCCCAGGGCTCATCACTGTCTGGGGCCCAGTAGGGACCTGGACCCCGGCTGGTAGGGCTGGGCCCTCACCCAGTGCGATGGCCTTGCTGTGGCCGTTCACTTCCATTTTGATCATGGTGGGCGCAGGGCTGGAGGCCAGGCTAGGCGTGCTGTGGCTGGGACCTAGAGTAAAGTTGGGGTCAAACACCTGAGAAGGCAGCTCTTTCAACTTGTGTGTCAGTAAGTGCTGCTTTAAGTTACCCATAGTGGAGCAGCCTCGCCTGCAGACCGTGCAGACAAATGGCCGCTCCTTGGTATGGCTGCGGTAGTGGATTTCCAAAGCACTTTTGCAAGCAAAGGGCTTGCCACAGACACCACACACAGTGCTCGCACACTTACCCCGCTCTCTGCTCAGGAACAGCAGGCTGAAAGGGGCCTCCTCCTTGATGAGTGGCCGACCAGGGTGGCCCGCTGTCAGATCCAGGGCACCTCCATTTCCTGGGCCGGGGGGTGGGCTGTCCAGCCTTTCAGTCTTCAGTGGGATCTCCTGCGGATCCTCCTGGTGGCCAAGCCCTGGCGACTTGGACCGGAAGCTCTCACCATTACTGTGAGCAGGTGACAGAGCCTGGGAGGACGAAGACTCGGATAGGGCGGGGCTACCTGCGCTGCGGCTCTCCAGGTCGCCCACCGCAGAGGAGGAGTCATTGCTCAGGCGATCGCTTTCCCCAGACCCATTTTCCACTGGCTTCAAGCTGGCCAGTTGCTGACAGTTCATGACCGAGTCAATCATTTTCATCTGATTCTCGAGGGCGGCGATGCTGGAGATGACCGACGGGGGTGAGGGTGGACAGGAGCCCGAGTAAGACAGAAGCGGTTTAGAGGAGTCGCTGGCTGTGTCCTTCAGCTCCGAGTCCTCCTCCATGGAGTTCTCGTCGACGTCATCGTCAAAGCTGCTGAGGGTCTCCACGTTCTTTTCATCAAAGGGCAGCTCGGCGTCCATGGCCTCCTGCAGGCCCTCGGGCAGTGGCGTGTTTGGGATCTGTCCCCCCATGTGCATCCGGATGTGCTGCTGCAGCACGACGGCGTTGGTGAACTTCTTCTGGCAGATAGGGCAAGAATGCTGCACGCGGAGCGGGGGCTTGGCGCGGTGCACCCCGAAGTGGGTCTTCAGGTTGCCTTTAGTGGTGAAGGCGCGGCCACAGATCTTACACTTGAAGGGCCTCTCCCCTGTGTGTGTCCTGTAGTGCATCTTCAGCGCGCTCTGGCAGCTCAGCACGCGGTGGCAGATGACACACTGGTTCGGGTCAGTCATCTTCTTATCAATGTTCTCCACCAGCTGCTGCAGTTTTGAGGTCTCTGACGTTTGCATAGAGTCAAGCAGCCCACCAAAAGGAAATTGGGCCTTGAACTGGTCAGAAACAGCCGGAAGACCAGGGCTGCCGAGGCTTGTGCAGGCGCTGTCTGTGACGGTGGTGGCAGCCGAAGTGGGCAACCCGCTGACCTGCCCACCCACCACAGGAGCATCTCCTGTCCGTGTACCTGTGCAAGGCAGGCTGACTGGCTCGACTTTAGTAAGCGAAGGCCCACCCAGGAGTGGCTGGGGTGACTCAGGCCTCACTGTGATACCAGACTCAGTATTGTTGAGGCCTGGGGACAGAGAGGTGCATTCGCTGGATGCTGGAGAGGGCCTCTGTGGGGACCGGCTGATGGGAGTGATGCTAGGGGAGTCAGTGTAGTTGTGGGTGCCAGGGACAGTGGGGGGTAGCTGAAGCCCTACTGATGTTGGTACAGTGGGCAGCACTGGCTTGCTGTCCAGCCAGGTCGTCACCGGCTTTTCTGGGGGCAGGGACATGCCATAGGGAATCCCAGAGCAGGTGGGCACATTGTCGAGGTATTCTGGGACAGGGTAGGGGTTCATCTGGATGTGGGGGTACTTCTCCTTGTGCCTCTGGAAGTGGACCTTCAGGTTGCCCTTGGTGGAAAAGCGGTTCCCGCAGATGTTACATTTGAAGGGCCGCTCCCCCGTGTGGGACCGCAGGTGGATCTGCAATGCACTGTCGCTGCCGAAGACCTTGGCACAGAACCTGCATTTGTGCTTAAAGAAAGGGTCCTCGGCACTGGCCTTCGGCTCGAACACTGAAACATTAGGGGGCTTGCCCTTGCGGTGCTTCATAAGAGCCGACAGGGGGTCCAGGGCATTGGCTGTGGCAGCAATGCTAACCAGTGGGTTGGGGAAGATGACACTACTGGATGAAGTCTGAGGTAGCAGAGGGTTTGGCAGATTAGAGGCTGAGCTGAGGAGGGGTCCAGGACCCAGGGTAGGGGGTGTAGATGCATTTTGGGGCTGCACCGTGCTGCCTACAGTGCTGGATGCTGCAGCCACGGCTCCTGGAGCTGGGCCAGTGCTACAGGCTGGGTGTGCCCCAGAATCAGTGGGGCCGGCACTGGTGCTGCAGGGAGTGCTTGTGCCCGATGCAGGCTGTGACAGGTGCTGGGGGCCATCGAAGGCTGCCGGCAGGGTGGAGCCCGAGCCAGCAGAGGCAGTGGCAGGTCCAGCAGAAAGCTGGAGGGCCGCATGCGGAGTCAGGCCCTGAAGCTGTACTGAGGCTGTTCCAGGGGCACTGGCTGAGGGCTTCAGTGGAGGCCCAGGCTGCCGGCTCATCAGGGCCACCTGGCTGCGGATCTGCTCGATGAGCTGGAGCTGGTGGATCTGCTGCTGCTGCAGCGCCACCAGCTGCTCTAGGATCATGGGGATGGCCACAGCGCCCACGCTGCCACCAGCGCCTGTAGTACCGCCTGCACGTGCACCCTGTGAGAACTGTGCCACCGCCACCTTGGTGCTGAGCAGCGTCTCCAGGGTCACATTGGTACTAGGCATGCTGAAGGCCGCAGGCTCTGGCTGTGGTGGCAGTGCAGGTGGCGGTGGGGGCACACTAGGGCCTGGAGGACCCTTGTCCGCAGATGCCTCCACATCCATGGGCTCTGCCTCCTTTGCAGCAGCCTTCACCTCGCTGCCCTCCGTGGGCGCCACCTCCTCAGCCACCTCACTCTCAGTGCGGTCACTGGGCGAGCTGGCGGGAGAAGGTTCTGGAAAGTCCTCGGAGGGCGGTGCCGGCTCATCGTCATGCACGATCAGCACCAGTGGGTTCTTGGTGCAGGTCTTCTTGTGCTGCAGGAAGTCCGCCCACTTGAAGAACTCCGCACAGCACTTCTCGCACACGCTGGTCTCCTCGCTGCCGCTCCTGCTCTCGCTGCCGCTGTCTGCGTCCTCTGCACCATCCCCCGGGACGCCTAGGAAACCAAGAAGAGATTACATCAGCCAGGCTCCGCCAGACAGCCACCCTCCATTTCAAAATTTTGCACATCAGTAAAATCAATATTTTTTATTTTGTACAAATTACCCCACTTCAACATTTCTGACGTCCCAGCGTGTGTGTTCTATGACTCTTTCTAGCTAGCTAATCATTTTCTTAGCACAATCCATCAAATTATGAGGCTCTATCAATTGTGGATACTGCTTCTTAATGAAATTCCATAGAAGCCATCGATTTCCAATATCTTCATACAATCCGCAGCCACCCTGTCTGTTGGGTACAAAGCCAGCCTTCGACGGGCTCATTAGGATTCCCCTTTACCATCGGGCTTCCTCATTTCCAACAAAATTAGAGACGCCTCTGCCAGTTCACTTAACATTGCCGAGCTAATCCGTAACCTTTCCCACACACCAGCACCTGACAGGAAGCCTGTGTGGTGTGGTCTGGGCTCATGGATTTATCATCTCTAAACCCAGCTGAGGTGGTGCTGATTTAACATGATCCCACAGAACCTTTTGAGTCAATACGCATTTATTTCACATAGGAAATTTAGGTTAAATACTAATGATTTGTGAACATAACAAAGAAACTATAAGCACTTCTTAAGATCCCAATGGTGTTGTCCTTCTCTCTTTTGGAAGGAAGAATCTTCTACATTTCAGAACTTGCCATATGACTACCAATATACACTAGGTCTAAAATGAATCATGTTTAGTACAATTAATCGGCTCTGTCAGATGCCATATTCTTTGGCAAAATGAACTTAAAATTACATGTTATTGTGATTAGCCAATAGAGTTCACTGGTTTGCTAGCAAACTAGGAATTATATATTTAAAGTTCATTGATGTTGACATGTTTAACATGAGAATGTTGTAGTCAGACACACTTTTTGTACCTATTTTCATCTATTCTCATAGAAAGACTTAGCAAATTATATGCTTGCACCATCGTGGAAAAGCCTCTAATTGGTTACACATGTTTAATTACTGTTGTAGGCAGCTACTTCCTCTGTCTCCCCTAACCCTCTTGTGCCGAATAACAACCGTGTTTAATGAACAACTCTAATTCACACCTGATCAAATAAATAGCTGTACGGGAACAAGAAATTGACACCGGGTGACAATTCTGGTGCTTGCTTTTTGGGTCACCGTGGTGGGGTGTGGTGCCCACCGCTGCCTGGTTTGGCGTGTTAGCTTGGGTGCCATTGACTTGAAGGGTTTTTGTTTTTCTTTCATCGGCTTGCAGATGGAGTGACAGCAACAGATCGGTGATTGAACAGAGCAAGTGTCACAAGCCAGTCAGCTCTTTGTTCCATGTGCAAAGTTGGGGTGGAGAGCAAACCAGCCCCAGTCCGACCTGAAAAGACACTGGTGTCCTAAGACTAGCACATGCACTTGCTAAAAAAAAGTCTCTAACAGTTTTCTTTTAAGGTTTGTTTTTGGGGTTGGGGGGTGGGAGTTAAGTCAACACCATATTGAGAGAAATCTATTTGTTGTCTGTTTTTTTTTTGTTGTTGTTGTTGTTTTTAAACTTTGTCCAGGAAACCCCCACTGCTCCTCGCCTGGAAAATGAAATAAAAATATTGTTTTGCGGCTGGTCTGTCGCTTTCCATGAGGCCATTATTTCCAGGTAATTTATACATGCCTATAAAAATTATTAGCAGCATTCAATTAGCATTTTCTTAACTGGCTAAGCCATTTGAAGGGGAAAGAACTTAGAGCTGCAGCCCATAAACCCCATAGACTTTTAAACTAAACTCAGTGCGGAGATCAGGCTGCGGCAGCACTCTCATTACTGCGTGGGGGAAGGAACGTAATAGGTATCCATAATGAGGTTGAGGGTAGCTAGGAGCAAAGACACAGCCGATTTATACCGCAGATAGGCACATTAGCAAAACAAATACTCTGTGCTCAACTTTGCTCAATGTATGCAAAACTAATTGTAAACCTGCTTAAGGTTTTGGAACGGGGCTTGGGGAGGGACAGGGTGTGTAGAATTTTTTAATCATTGAATTAAAAAAAAAACCTATGAGCTTTTCAAAATTCCAGTAACTTAATTTTAAAAGTTTTAACAAAATGCCAAATTTTAAACTTATAATTTCTCTTTAATTAATTGTATAGTGTTCCTCAAAGCCATATACGTCTCTCACATATTACATATTATGTATTATATATGGACATTTCAAAGCTTATTTGCATTAAGCAGTAAAATAAATGCACAGAAATAACAAAGCAGCAGGCTAACCTTAACAAGTTGCATTCCAGAGTAAAGCTATGATATAAAAAGTATACCTTTGCTACTTTCTTAAAAAGGAAGTGGCAACAAATCAAAAATTGCTAATGCCCTGAAATATTGTCTATATTGTCTTTATAAGGAGATAAAAATTCACAGTACATAAAATGCACGAAAATTGAAGGTTTAAAATGTAAATTTACAACATCAAACAGTATCCTACTAAAAGAACACTTTTTCTTTATGTTTGTATGTGTTAGAAACTAGAAACAATTCATTCAGAAAATGCTTAAAAGTGGGTTGACTTTGAGATCATTTAAATTGCATTCAGTGTAGAAAGAATTAATTTGCATAACTGTAAGTAAGTTATACCTTCAAAAATAAGCATTTCTCAGATTTCCCTTATAACAAAGTGTAGTGTTGTGACCCAGAATACCCATGCTTTTCAAAAGGGTCTCAGCCCAAACAATTCCCTATTTACTTTAAAGATTTGCATTTTTACATTCCCATTAGTTTTTTTATGTGTTAAAGTGTTTCTAGGGTTCACTTCCAGATGCACTGAAGCTGAGAAGGGATCCCTCAGGTAATTTCTTTCTCTTTCTTTCTTTTTCTTTCCTCCACTGGAAGGGCTGCTAAATTATAAGTGTTTCTTAGCTGTACAGAGTGTGTGTGGAATATTTAAGCACTTTCTGCCAAATAACGTCATTTTGTTTAATGCAATGTTAAGTGACAATTATCCCAACATTAGATATTTTGTTCAAAGTAAAATGATCCTCCACCTATAGTCCTTTCAAACTGAAGGAGGAAATTGTGGGGAAAAGGCATTCTGACCCTTCGGACCCGTTAACAGTTCTTTATGTTAATGAGCCCAACAAGGAAACCAAGCCTGGTAACAATTTGCTTATGAGCCAAGCTTCATCATGAATTTCACTTTTGGCAAAAGAGTGATCTTAAAAACTTCAGTCAGTGAGGGGAAAATTCTTCAGTATGATTTGCATTTCTTATCTGGGGCAAATAAATTAGAATGACCACTTAACATTTCTGCTGGGGTCTGTTTAAAAATGCCAGTAACACAGACTCTTCAGTGTCTTACATGCTCAAGCTAGAGATGTGTTTCCCAAATCTGAGTGTAACCAGACCTCCTTCAGAAAAGCTGGAGGTAAGCAGAAATTTATTACGATGGGCACAACTACAAATAAAAGACTAATGCTCCCTCTGTGAAATTAAACTTGCTTGCCTCTATTTGAAATGGTTTTTAAGTCACAAAATACTCTTTCACTGAACTGACGGATGAATAGGAATAACTGAACGTGGTACGCTTTCTTGAGGACAGGACTCTTTGGAGCATCAAGACGTTTTCCTGACTCACAGATTGCTAATGTTGACCTCTGATGAATTCTACAGAGAGTGAGAGAAATTACATTAGAACCTGCTTTCAAGCACAGGCATGCATAACACTGTCTATGTGCAGAGTTGACATTGTTATTTGTTTTCTGTACGAGAAAACCCAGGTGGGTGTCCTGGTTGTTTTATATTTTATCACGTTGCTGCTATTGGCCTTTAACTGCCATCTTGTAAAGCCAAGATTATATTATTCAACCGTGTCTCACTTACGGCTACAGTCTGAACTGGCCACCATGCTAAAAAGTAAAAGTTATTAACTCATCAGTTAATATTGCTTAAAATTTTTATTTACGGGTAACCAGAGTCAGAGAGGCACACTCTTCAAAAGGACAACAAAAAATCTTTAAGAAATGTATTAGCAATTTTTCTTTCTTTTGAGGAGAGAACTTAAAAAAGCAAGCATTCTAATCAGTCTCACTTGTGTCAAAGTAATTGATATATTTTTTACCTAGTGGTTGTTCAACAGCTAAGATTTGAAACCCACTAGGCAGGGATTAGGCAGGCGTTTTATGACACTTCACTATAAAGCTTACATATGCTCATACGCTATGGGGAAAGAAAATGCTAACCAGTTGACCAACTAATTCATCTGGGTGTTGGATCTCCCTGTGAAATGGTTTTCTTCCTGGTTGGCAGACCAGTATGTGACAGTGGCTACCAGGACAAGATACCTACCAAAAGGACCACACAGTCCTCACTATCCTGGGAAATGACTCATCTACATTGGAGGAGGCAGAAAAATAAATCTGAGGTTGATTTGTAGACCTCCCAGCACTTGGGGTTCCTAAAACAGTCTCCTCTGCGGCTGGCAGAGGAGAGGGAGAAGGCCCACAGCCCCTTAGAGGAAGCCACAAGGCACCTAGCTAGCGGCAGTGTTTTTGTATTTACTGATAAAATAGCGTGTTTAATAAACACCTCCTCAGTCTTTCTCATCCACCGCAGCTTCCGAGTGAGTCTGTTGCTTTCACTTCTGGTTAGTTTTGGAAAATGACTCCATGGCTCTCTCTGTCTTCCAGAGCATGATGGTCTGTTTCAAGCCCCCAAGTGAAGACACTGCAGTGTGTAAATAGGAGACTCATGCTTTCTCTATACACATATTCATGCACAGCCCTCAGCAAGGCTTCTCTTCAGTTCCCCCTTCCAGAAGTGTAAAGGATTTTTCACTCATTACAAAGCAGCAGTAAAATTGCTGATTTATGATTTCCTTTACTTTGCTACATATTTACAATTCACTACAATTAACAAAGGGAGAAGGCAAACTTGTTTAGTGCAGAGAGGAGTATAAACTTCTCTTAAACTTTAAAATGCCAGGTAGGTCTTCCCCACAGGAAACCCTACT